AAAGCTGGTTGATGTATTCACTGAAGGCGAACCGGATACTAGCCAGAAGACATCCGTGCTCGGCCGAAGGTCATATATTGATGACATATTGATTACAGCTCCCTCGTGGGACTCCTTATATGATAAGGTAAAGCGATTGCTAGAAGTATGCAATGAATGGAATTTGTCGATCAGTCTCGCTAAAAGTTTCTGGGGACGACGTAAAGTGGATTACCTGGGTCATCAAGTCTCACTTGCAGGAATAGAAGCTCATCCAAAGGATTTGGTATCGTTGGTAAATATTCCGTTCCCAAACACGTTGCGATCGATGCAATCGTTTCTGGGAAGCTTGAATTACTATAGTCGATTTGTCGAAGACTTTGCGATTTATGCGTCAGTGCTATATGAATTACGGGAAGCAGATTTCCATGAAATCCGCTGTTCTGATAAGATGAATGCATTGGATTCGACTGTCGCAACCAGGAATGATTCAGATCAAAAGTTTGATATTGGGGACGACCCAGATCCAGAAGGACGGACTCGATGGGAAAAAGCGATGATCGCATTTACCATGTTGAAAGCCAAGATCGCTAATACCCCTATCCTCAAACACTTCGATCCAGATCGGCCTCCGGTAATTGTCGTATATGCGAGTAAATGGGCAGTTTCAGCAGCTTTGTTGCAGGAGTATGATGGCATATACTGGCCAGTTACGTTTACAAGCCGAACGCTGAAGCCTAATGAGATCAATTACGGAATGGTCGAGAAGGAGATACTAGCATTACTTCGGATTTTGGATATATGTTATCGCATGCTAGTCTCGCGAGAGATTAAAGTTCTTACGCGGTTCTCGACGATGGCCTGGTTGGTGCAATCCTCCGGTCTCAATGGCAGGCTAGTTAGGTGGGCCGCATTATTATCGACTTGGACTTTGGAGATCAAGAAATGTGAAAAGGGCGAAGATGAAATACTTGGTGCCCTGGCTGCAAGTGTGACTCCCCGTGAAGAAGTCGATGAAGTGTTGATTGCGATCGCTCCACGGAAACAGCCAAGGCAAACTCTAAGTATGCCACCGCCTACGGTGGAAGAAGATGAAAGTCTCTTGGTCGTCAGTTTCGATGGATCGGCACGAACCAAGCGAAAGGGTGGATCATACAGTGCGATAATATGGAAACTTCCGGAGTGGACTATTGTGGCTGCTGCATCGGAATATGCAACGGACTTAATAGTGAACGAAGCTGAATATCGGGGTTTACTATTAGGCTTTGATCTGTTGGAGAATCAGACTAGGGGACGCGTTATTTTTTGTGGCGACTCCAACCTCGTGATTCGACAGATGCGGGGTGAAATTGATTGCAAGGCTCCTGGACTGCAGTTGTTGCGACAGAAAGCAATAGAGAAGCTTCTATCATGGCCGATCCATGAGTTTTTACATATGAAGCGCGACTGGAACCAAAGTGCAGATCGACTGGCGAGTACTGCTTTACAGAAGGAACAAGGCGTGGTCATCACTTCGGAAGGAGATCGCCAAGATCTCAGTACTCTTAATAGACTGGATGAGTTGTTGAAGCCGAAGCAGACCGAATCGGTGGTTAAAGTTGCTGCGATTTCCAGATCAACCCGGAGAAGACGTCAACCACCCGAGATTTTGCAAGAATTTGAGCGCGAACAAGTTCGCCGTAATCGTTTCGAAGTAATGCAGTCTCATGAAGAGAAAAAATCTGAAGATTAGTGATTTGGTTATTTCGCTTACGGAGAGTGGAAATGGCTGTACAAGATGGTTGGCTAGCTGGGGAACTAGGATATATGCGAATTTGAGTGTCGATCGAAGGTCTGAAAGACCAGATCGCGGCTGAAAAGCCCAAGAAAGAAGACAATTTCGGAGAAGATTAAAGAAATGGAGTGACAAAAATGGAATTGTATTGAACGACTGAGGTGTGTTACTTGTACACAAACACCGCGAGGAATATTAACAGGACAGATGGTGCACAGCCAGATCGACACTGTATGTCGCCTACCGGTGCAGGGGACGATTGTGGTAAAGTCGATTTGAGAATTTTGGCTAAGTCCATACAATATTATTCTCGATAAATCCAGAGCCGATTTATTGAGACTTTTTTCTCTAACGGTTGGATCCCTTTCCCATAACGGCCAGATCCCTTTCTCATAACGGTTGGATCCCTTTCTCATAACGGTTGGATCCCTTTCCCATAACGGTCGGATTCCTTTCTCATAACGGTTGGATACCTTTCTCATAACGGTTGGATCCCTTTCTCATAACGGTCGGATTCCTTTCCCATAAAGGCCGGATCCCTTTCTCATAACGGTTGGATCCTTTTCCCCCATTAAGTCACTTACTAAAATGACTTATTGGGTGTGATGAAGTCGATCTCAATTCATGGACGATCGAATGGAAAAGCACCGTTGATCCAAGATCGTTTATTTGTTTGTTCAATAAAACGAATGAAGAAGGGATCAATGGTATCGAAGACGATGATGATATGGATTGAAACATACTTAAGGTGAAGATACATGGCATGGATCACATTTCCGAATTATATTGAATAATCATGGAATAGGACACCGTTGGATTATACTTGATTCCAGTATCGGTTGATCCAATTAGATGGATTGATTTTAAAAGGATTATACGTGAATGTGGAATAGTGGAATTTCGCAAAGCGTGATCGCATATTTTCGGTTAAGTCCGAAATGGCCAATATTAATGAGTCGCGATCTCGCGGCCAATATTGATGAGTCGCGATCTCGTAGAAAGGTTTCGAGATGACGTCAAATGGGATGGAAAACAGTGAATGGTGTAGTTTGCACTTCTATGTGGGGTCAAATATGGCCTAGGAACTACGCTATTGCGATCTCCAGTATTTCCGATGGCGATCCGCGTGAACGCGATCGCTAAGAAGGAGGATGGGTACATCCAAGCATGTGGAAGACGGTCTGGTGTGGATCACGTCGCTATGGAGGACTGGAATGGTGGATATGACATGTCACATAGATGAACTATCTCACATGACCTGAGAAACGGTGAAGAGGACAAGTCGTGATCCGGCGGATCGCGATCTGATGCTAATTATTAGTATCGCGATCCGATACTAAAATAAGTATCGCGATCCGATACTAATTATTAGTATCGCGATCCGATACTAATTATTTAGTACCGCGATCCGATACTGAAATGGTATTAGATCCGAGCGAGGTAGCGATCCAGATCGCGGCGATATTGGAGTGGACCACATTACAAGATCTGATTTCTCCGAAAGGGCGATACGTGGCAATAGATCCTGAGCTACAGATAGTCAAGATCATAGGTTTTGGTATTTGATTGGTTAACATTAACAGAGTTCAATTTGCTTCTAAGTACACGTGTCGACTTCTCTTCCGGGCTGGATTCTTTGGCCTCCCGACGTCTCAAGGAAGTCTACCTACTACGCAAGTCATATCCCTGGATTGTTTGGCCAGGGATTGCAAGAATTCTCAACAAAACAACTCAAGCTGCGATTGGACGCAGAGGACTAAGAAGTCCAGATACAAGATCGCGAGACGGCTCAAGTGGTCAGAAGGCAAGCGGATCAAGTATCTACATTTTTGGACAAGGCGATCTCAAGGGAGATCAGGGCGACTCAGATAGAGCACCCCAAGAACAACTGCGATCGTGTGAGGAATTCCACGCGATCGCCCTCCACCTATCCCTAACACAATCAAGTCCAACATCGACTCAAGTCTACCGAGAAGAGAGCAACCCGCCCTACCGACGGGTACACAAGGTGAGGAAGGCTATACACACGGAATCGGGGTACCCCCTCCGTTAGTCGGTCGTCCGGGCGCCAGTGGAGAGTTGGAATCGCATCAGCAATTTTGCGAATCCCACTCCACCACAAGACCTAAGCACCAGCAGCAAGTTTAGCATAGCAGCGAACCATGATATGGCAGCGCTTGCCGCACTTGTAGCAGATCGCGTCTGCATTGCCTAAATCCATTGGAGTGGCATCCGTCTTCTCGGCCGACGGCTTATAATAAGCTGTCGTCGAAGCCCTATTGTAGGATTGCTTCTCAACCATAACAATTTTAATTGCCTCCTCCATCGTCTTTGGCACCTTTATGAAAAGGTCATGACGCGATGGGCAGTGCCGTAGTCTATTCATGAACGTAGGGACCTTAATGTGCTCCGGTATCGAGCCCACACTAATGGACGCAGACAGTGAACGCATCTCCTGCACATATTCTTGCAGAGATCGTTTTGCCTGTCGTGCTCCAAAGAAGCGCGCCTGAAGTAACACTTAATTGTTAAGCTACTGATACATGGCGCGAATCTTTGACTTTTAGAGAGCCCATGATGGAAACGCATCGGCGTTTGCCATAAGCGCAGAGTAAGCTCACTCTGACGCTTTGCCACGCCAATTTGACATGGGCATACGACAATTTTGGCGTATATTTTGCGCATTTTAGTTAAATAGTATCTTCTGGCGAAGCTTATCAAACCGCGTCTAACATCTTGTCTACTATCTGCAAGTCATTCACGAGCGCTCCCAGGTCCGCAAGCTTGTTCTTTATATGAAACATGTTATATAGATGGCTCCGCAAGTCTTCATCTTAACGTCATAAGCAAACACGTTAACTTGTTCACAAAAGGAAAAACTTGCATGATTAACATGCAAGGTGCTTTCGCCCATGAAAACGTTGGCGGCTTCGGTGGAACGTTGCGCTGGGACGAAGCGCTTGATCTGATGATAGAATCTTTTCTCGTCAACGTTTACTTCAAACTGCATAACCAACATCATAACACCATGCACTTCTGAAGGTAAGTTTACGTAATGTCGGACAAAAAACTTCGCTAATAAAGTCTAAACACCTAAAATCGTTCAACCCTATTTAAATGGGTCACATTTTGCACACTATTCGCATAAAATAATGTCCGTCTAATTTGGATGGCAGTCGATACCTTTTTGCCTGGATAAAATCCATTTGCGAGATAAAATCGAGCTAAACGAGTAGTATTGCTCATCATGAACGACGTGCAAGAGCCTCTGACTCCGAATAAACCCGGGCCAGTGGACGGTGTGGTAGTGGACGACATTACACTGACGTCACTGCTCCCGCGTCTTCGCAAGAAAGGCTACAAGTTCTCGTGTACATTGGCTGCATTAATTCGACGTTTAGGATGATTTGATTCTCGGCTTCATGATGTGCTTATGCTGTTATTACGTGCATTTTTTACGCAGCCTACGCCCGAGAAGACCATGGAAATGCTCTCTACTGCGTCACATTTTGTGACGTTCTGCCCATTTACGAGCGCATGTTTGCAGCAGCTGGTGGCAATCGAGTATGAATACAACATAGCAGAAGGAGGAGAAGGAGGGAGGCTCTCTTGCTGCAGTTTGCGTGTTCATTTACTGACTGATGTCGTCTGGTTTTATAGTTGACAGTATACGAATGTCTGGAGAATGGCGGGCTCGATATCATTCAAGTGTATTGCGATGGAGATCAGGAAGAGCAATACTTTACGGCAGCATGGACAGTGGATGTGCTCACAGGCTCGCCACTACTAGCGGCTGCAGGCTTCCGCGGCCATATCAAGGTGATCAACTGCATCACACAGTCGGTGTTGATCGTTTTGTCAGGACATGGCAACTCAGTGAATGAGCTCAAATTTCACCCGGTAGACCCGAGTCTGTTGTTCTCGGCTGGCAAGGATGAATCCATTCGTCTATGGAACTCTCTCACGGGCGTGTGCGTGGCAATTTTTGCCGGTCACATGGGTCACCGTGACGACGTGTTAAGCCTGGACATCCACCTGAAGGGTTCGTGCTTCGTATCGTCTGGGATGGACAATACGGTCAAAATTTGGGATCTCGAGGATGAGGTCGTCCAGACGGCGATTAAGAAGTCATATACGGAGCCCCGTCCGAAGGATCGTCCGTTCGACACTAAGTTTATTCAATTCCCGGCATTCTGCACCAGCAAAGTGCATGCTGACTACGTGGACTGCGTGCGAATGGTGGGTGACTTGATTTTGTCCAAGTCGACTGGTAACAAGGTGATTTTTTGGAAACCAAACCCGTCGCGAGGCAAAGATGCAGTCACGGTGCTACGTGAGTATCACTACAAAGATGCTGATCTATGGTTTATGAAGTTTGGTCTCGATTCGCAGCTAGAGGTCATGGCAGTGGGTAACAAGAAGGGCATGGTGAGCGTCTTTGATCTGGATGCCGAACAAGAACGTCCAGTCTGTAAATTGACCCATAACAGCTGCAAGAACACAGTTCGCCAAGTGTGCTTTAGTAAAAGTGGTCGTACGATTATCACGTGCTCAGACGATGCAACTGTGTGGCGTTGGGACCTGCATTAACATGTAGCTACAGTATACCGGTAATTCTGAAGCCATTTTCAAGGAGTGGACCATGTACCGTAACAATCCGTTTATTTCCAATTCAAAAACCTTAAATTTAAAATTTAAAAATCTCAAATTTTAAATTTGTAAATTCAAACATGGGAACAAAGCGCAGGAAGGGCGACGAGGTGTCTTCGAACGTCTTAAGTCTTTCTTATGTGTCCACAGAACGTCCATCACCTGCAAAAATCCCAAGAACTGCAACTGCAATTGCTCCACGTCGCTTTGGGTTTAAAGGGCCGTTAATTTCGCAGCTTCCGGCGCCAGCAACAGCTTCCACGAGAACCAAGCGACCAGTCGCGAATACTTTAGACTCGACGTATGGGAACGATACAGCTACAGACGCAGTGAAGAGTGGGGCATTATCGGTTGATTTTGACATTCAAGTGCTAAAGAAATTTGACGAAAGCTTTGGTCAGGAGACACTAACGACTCTGGAACAGTTGTTGGCATTCCGTCATAAAACGAACAAGTTTGCAGTAAAAGCTCGGAAAGAGGAGCAGATTAATTACATTAAACAGCTCAAATCTAGTGTTCGTGATGTTGTGAACAAGGTACAGACAATGAAGCAACTTTAGTGTATTATTGACTTTTGTATTGCTGACTCATGAGAAAATGGTGTTGCACGCGTTTTGTTGACAGATCCAAGAGTTTAGCAAAGTTTCTGCGACGATGGACGATAAGTTTGCGGCAGAAAAGGCGATGATGGAGAGGAGGCTGGTAGTACTGCAACAGGCGGCGAGAAATAAGAACGACATGGAAACAGAGTTGAAACAACTACGGGAGGAGTATGAACTTATGCAAAAAGGTGTCAGACGAATTCGCGCATCGGAACAGGAAGTTGTGCGTAGCAATGCGGTACTTCGGGATAATGCGGCGAAGCTCGACATTCAGCTAGAAGAGGCACAGAAAGAGAATGAACAGATGAAGTTGGACTTGAAAGCCCACGAGACACGCATGATAGACGAATCTCGACGCTTTGAGGAGAAAAAGCGTGAGCTAGAGGACTTGCTTGAGAAAAAGGGACTTGACGAAAGCAAACGCAAGCAGGCCGAGCTGGAACAGTTACAGAAGCAACACGCCAAGACCCGTGAAGAACTTGCTTTGGTGCACAAAGAGCTCGACAAGTACAAGGACAAAGCAATTGAGGCTGCAAATAGTCTAAATGACGAACGCGAACGACGCACCAAGTCTGAGATGGAGAAGTGCACACTTGAGGCAAAGAATCAGTCTTTGGAGGCTCGTGTGAGCAACGCGGCGAATGAAGTGTCAGAGATGAAGGATAAGCTTCAGCACAAAGATATGGAAGTTTCTAATCTCGTAAAAAGTTTGACTGACATTCAGAAGTTTAACGCGTCTACAAGTACGAAGGTTGAAACTGATAAAAAGGAGTTGGCCGACAAGATTGAGAGACTCCAAACGACCATTCGTGATCTCGAGCGGCAGGAATCGTCAAGTTTGACGACAGTGCGTGACCTTGAAAAGCAACTGGAAGTATGTGAGTATCTTCATGTAATGGAGTTGTGTAGCTAATACTTGTGTGTGACTGTTAATGCTTTGTAGCTGGAAACTACATTACGGAAAGCGACAGAACAGAATGAGCAGGAAATTCGTGCTCAGATGAAGAAGCTCGAATCTGACCTGCAATCAAACATGCAAAAAGTAGGTGTAGAAGGAGGTGTTCGACAGATGCTTGAGAATCAAGTGCGCGAACTTCGGACAGAACATATTGCTGTAAATGCCCAGTTGGAAGCAGTTAAGGCTGAAATGAAGCGACTTCAGTCTGCAAACGTAGACTCAAAAGAACAGCACAATACACAACTTGGCACACTGGAAGTGAGATTCCAGCAAGAAAGGAACAGCTTTAAGTGTCAAATAGACAAGTTGCAGGAGGAGAATGTCAGTCTGGAAAGTGAAGTACAGACTTTACGGACGCAAGCCTCCTCAGCTTGCGATGGAAATGTCGAAGAGCTGTGTAAAGTGAAACGAGAGGCCGACGTTTTGCGCCGGCGTCTTTATGAGCTGACGAGTCAAGGAGCCCAATCGATCGCTCAAAAGGACAGCATGATTTTAGAGCTGCAAGAGAAGATCAAGCAAGGTGATAAGCATCGGAGAGCAATGCACAATACGATCCAGGTAAGATTGTCATGTTGTGTCTGGACACGCTAAAAGGCAAGATGTCGGCATGGCCTAATTGTCGCTGTTGCTTTATACTTGTAGGAGCTGCGTGGAAATGTTCGAGTATTTGCCAGAACGCGCCCGTTTTTGCCATCTGACCGTTGCGATCTTAATACAACGACTCCTGTGATTTCGTGTGATTTCGACGGGGAAAGCCTGAAGCTGCAACGCCCTGGAAAGAGCCTTTCAGAGCCGGACACATTCTCCTTCACGTTCGACAAAGTGTTCGCCCCTTCGTCGGGCCAAGACGCGGTTTTTGAGCAGGTGTCAGAGTTTGTTCAGTCTTCTTTAGACGGATATCACGTCTGCCTGTTTTCGTATGGTCAGACTGGCTCCGGAAAAACACACACGGTTGGTATCCCTTGCTTACGTTTTGCTTTGATTTGTCGTAGTTAATGTTTTATGTTGCATCATAGATGCAAGGAAGTGGTAGTGGTCAGATGCGCGGAATCATTCCGAGGGCGATCGAGATGATCCTGCAGGAGTGTAAAAAGTTGAAACACGAGGGATGGAACTACGTCACGAAAGTGTCTTTCCTGGAAATTTACAACGAAACAATACATGATTTGCTAGCCACAAAACGCAACAGTGACGAGAAACTTAGCATCAAGAAAGATGCAAAGGGGGGTGTCTACGTACCAGGACTGACACTCGTGGATGTTACTGCTATGGAACAAGTCGAAGATCTCATGGAACGAGCAAGCAGAGCACGAAGTGTTGCCTGCACAGATATGAATGCGCAGTCATCGCGGTCGCATAGCGTGTTTACATTGCACTTGCAAGGCGTGAATGATAAGGGAGGAGTGATGCTAAACGGCCAGTTGAATCTGGTCGACTTAGCTGGTAGTGAGCGCGCTTCACGATCTAACGTTTCTGGTGACCGTTTGAAGGAGACACAAGCCATCAATAAGAGTCTTAGCTGCCTGGCTGATGTCTTTAGCGCGATCGGAAACAAGTCTTCTCATGTAAGTCCATCGATCGCGCTACGATCTAGCGGAATACTGACGGTGTAACTTTGTTGATTCGTAGATTCCGTTCCGCAATTCTAAACTGACATACTTGCTTCAGAATAGCCTGTCGGGTGATGGCAAGACGCTGATGATGGTAAACCTGTCACCAACGCTGGAATCAGCAAGCGAGAGTCTGTGCTCGCTGCGGTTTGCAAAGCAAGTGAACCAGTGCGAGCTAGGCAAACCGAAGCGGCAAATTAAGTCCAGGAAGGATCGTCCGTGAACAACGAGCAAGCGATTTGTTGTATACCTGCTACATGGACAGCATATATTGTACTGTAATATACTTGTGAGTCGCACGTGAAGCAGGAGTTGGTCAGCTGGTCCACGGGGTCTCAATTTTATCGCAATCCTGAGTGTGAACGACTGAATTTTACTTCCCGAGCCATTTCATGTTTGCGCCACTGATATGACTGAAGAAAGGACGGAATCAAAAATGGTAAGAAGACAGATTAAACATGTTAAGATGCCGTCAAATTGTGTGCCTTGGCGTTGACACTCACGTTCTCATGTTGTAGCAGATGACGCGAAGAGAGACGAAGAAGTTCTCTCGGCGGCTAATTTAGCCAAACTATTCTAGTCAGCGAATTGGTGCTGCAGACACGGCCGTACAAGAGTATGCCAATTGCTGGATTGAGTCACCACGTTGAAGAACATCAACACCGAGTTTGGGGACCACCTTTCGAAAGGTGGTGGTAAGTGTCTTGTGCTCCTAGTTTAACCCCCTTGTCATTGAGTTTTGCAAAGCTGTGACAAGACCACATCATCGCAGCCAAGAATTTAGAGATCCAGGAAAGTCAGGAAACAAGATCAAGAGAGAGGAAATGAATGGTGGCGGAACTTGGCGATAGGAACGCATGACGTTTTGTGCCCTTGATGTGGTCATACGTGGAATTTATCAAGACTCGCTTCCGAAGTTGTATACATGTATAATGTTATAGACCCACTAAATTTGTAATTTATTTCATACGCTCTCTTTGGTATAATCCATCAATAGTAGTCCAGACCGCAGCTATACGTTATCCCAAAATAAAGTATACATATCAGACAGCTGTTGACTTCCATCATTTTCATTTGCTAATAATCTGCAGTCTTTCCTCAACAATACCGGTATTTCCAACTCGAAAACATGTCGCCACCGCCTCGCCGCCGTGGACGTGGGGGTCGAGGAGGTGACCGTCGTCTTAGTATTGACAATACTATTGCAACTTCCAAGAACCGTGAACGAGGCAGTAGCATTCATAAACGCGGTGGAGGGCGTGGGGGTGGAGGCGGGTCATCTACTGTCTCGTCTTCGTCTGCTGTCAATTCGGTGAGACCCACACGTACCGTGATGACTGTATTAAAGAAATTAGTGGTGCGTAATATTCCTTCAACGACGTCAGAAGAAGAGGTTAGGGAAATGTTGAAGGGATACGGCATTGGTCACGAGGTTATATGGCGCTTTGTACCCGGTCGTAACCGACGCAAAAACAATCGTGAGCCAATACCTGCGAGACTTTATTTGGACATGAACAAAGAGCCAGAGAAAATCAAAACACTTATTGCAGCATTGCATGGACAGCTATTTTGCTATAACGTGAAGGAGAAGACAGATATTAAGCCACTGGAGGTAGAATTTGCCCCGTTTCAGAAAATTCCACGTGAAAAACAGCGAAAAGACGCTAAAATAGGAACAATTGACCGTGATCCAGAGTATATGGCGTTTTTGAACGAGTTGTCCAAGCCAAAAGACGTGAGTGTTTAGTAGAAAGTTTTGTTGAAACATTGAGTAGCAACTAAGTTGAGTGGATTCGTGGATTGACTGGATGGTTTGCTTTGATTCTGATGTGTGTAGAAACTTCCTAGTGCCGAAACAGTTGTGGATATGGCAGAGGGTGAGACGGTGGAAAAGCCTGTGGCGGCGTTGGTGAAGTACCTGAATGAAAGGAAGGTTCACAGCCGTGATAAGGGCAAAGTGAGTGATAGTTATATATAGTTATCAATTGTGAATGATGCCTGCACACTTTCTTTTCTAATAAAGTGAAATGGTGATGCTGTTATAGGGAAAATCTGGAGGAAAATCATTTGTCAAGAATGCGCGTCGACAGAAGGGAAAGAAAGCGGTAAGTAGTATTGGTTTTGACACCCGTGATTTGGATGCTGGCTGGCTAGACATCGAATCATTATGTTTGTATAGAGCTCTAAGCAAAAATCGACGAAAGAGAAGTCGAAACCTTCAAAGGATTGCAAAAAGAAAAGCAGCAGTGATGCAACTGGTACGATAGCATGTTGATCAGAGAGGAGTATTGCTAGATGTCTTGCTAATGATGCCCTGTCGATTGTTCCTTGTAGAACTTAAAAGTGGCAAGCAACACGGAAGAGCGTCTTCGAAGAAGGAATCAACGAAACAAGAACCGGCAGAGCCTGGCATGTTGCGTATCATGATTTCCAAGTCTGTTGCTGCGGTTGGCGATTCAGCTCTTCCCCCCGCTGGGACTGCGCCCTCTACCGATGCTTCTTCGGAACGCGGATCAGAGAAGCGTTCCTCCAAAGGCGGCAAGAAAAATGGCAGCCGTGGACGCACCAACCCCCGAAAAAGTAAAGATGGAATTGATGGGGCTGAAGGTGAAGGTACCAATTTGAAACCACATGCACGTCGTAAAGGTGGAAATGGTGGCAAGAAGGAGCCGAGAAGCAAGGGCGAACGGGTAAGTGGGGCTGCGGATCTCATTTGATTGTGTAATGTTGCCGACGCTGCTGCGTTTTGTCGCTTTAGAAGAAGGTGTTTGCGCCAAAGGATGCAACTCTGCAAGGCACGCCTTCCAAAAGTTGATCGTTGTATGGCCTGACTCAAGCAAGTTGTTTTCTGACCGTGACATTGGCATCTCAAACGGGTACAGCAGAACCGCAGCAAGGAAGTGTGAAGAGGAGGCAATGAAAGAAATCGTTGGCCAGAATGAGGATAGCACAGTCCGATGCTCAGATGCACACACACGAACAGGCGGAAGCGTGAATGTTGGTGAGCAGGAGTTGACGGGTCAACGCGAGTGAGCAGCTAGCAGGCCGACCGAGGTTGGCTACCGCACTTACTGTGCTCTTCAGGTGACCGGCATGGTTGTATTATCTACGATTGAGGTGCAGGGTCATGGTTGTTTCAGATGGCAAGAAAAGCAGAGCAAGAAGCAAGCGCGTGGCAGGCGACAAATGGCAGTCATGGAGTGGTGGGAGTTTTTTTAGGAAGGCAGCAATGCAGCACCTCGACGGAGGTTGTTCTCTCTGTACACATGCATGCTCCTTTATTGGTATCGTCTTGTTTTCTTGTGGCAACAGAGTTGTGAGTGTGAGAAAATCCGGCGATCAAGCTTGTGATACTAAGAAATGGTTTCGTGAGCAATTCTTCGTGGACAATGGCTGTGTGCTATACGATCAAATTATAAAGCAGGTGAAGCTGCCTTCATCTTCTTCTAACGAGTTGTGGGTATAGCGGGTAGCAAAATGCTTAGCAAGCATCTTTCTGAAGTCCGTCCATATGGCTCTGCTGTGCTGCATGTCACGGACGCTCAGCCTTTCCGAGGACTAGTCTCGAGCAAGACAGAGTGCGGGAAGCAGATGTAGAGGGCAACAAGACCGATCTTGTTGTTCACCGTGTCATCTCGAACGAGAAGTACGAAGCAATCATTTGTCTGCACGGACTGCTACGCCAATTGTCTAGTGCCACCGCAAAGTGATGAGAAGATCGTCTCAGTAGCAGCAGCGAACATCTGGGCGTCGAGTTTGAACTCTGCTTCTGCGACACGTTAGACCGCGCCGTCAGACCCAATGGAGGCCAAGGCGAACAGGAGGCCAAGGCGAACAGGAGGCATGCACTCCGATGATGGACAAGATCGCGGTATAGAGCGAATGAGGCGATGAGCCGCGGCGCGCTGCCGATGTCGTACCATGTAGACTTCACATGGTGCCACAGCCCGATGCTGTGCGTAGTACATATTCTCACAAAAAGTCGCACTCAGCACGCACTATTGCGAGTCGTTCTTCCTTGGTGCCATTTAGGAAAGCAAGCCGCAACAGCTCCTCATCGCGCAGCTTTTGCACAGTTGCTGTAAAGGCATATAACCGCGGTACGATAACTTCGGTCCAAATATCTCGTCCTCGTCCCGTCGAAGACATAGGAAGACAAAGCGGTGCAACACCCAACGACACGCGTGAAACTCTGATAGTGGGGTTGGAGGTGGCATTGTAGATACATTCCACCAAGTCTCCGTGTTCAACTCCTAGCATTTTCATGTAGACAGCTAATTGAATATGATCGAATAGCGGCGGTGGATTTCGAAAGCCACGCATACGGTTCTTGATCTCCACTACAACGGGCATCATCTCCCACTCATCATCTGCTGAAATAGTCAACGCGTCTGTTATACCGTCTACCATGCCGCAAATCGAGAAATAGCCATCGGTCGACCTCTCTTCCTTCTCATCCTCCATTGTCAAATTCATAGTCTCCGACTCGAGCATCCGCTGTTTCCTGGGAATTCTTGTGCGCTGACATTGTTCATCCAGCAGCGAGTAGTCAATAGAAACTTCTTCTGCATTCTTGACACGATTTGTCTTCGGCAGCAATGGAAAAGTGAGAAAGTAAAAATGTTCATTCGTGTGCCGGACCTTGGACCCAGTCTGCCGTTCATAAGCCTGTTGATAGCCAGCATCTTGTTAGTACATACACTTCGAATATCATTACATAGATATATATATATATATCTCAGTAGCTGCACCTCCAGAGCCAACAATTCATTGCGTGTGCCAGCACTTGTGTGAATCTTTTCGGCCAATAGCTTCCGCACCTCTTGCGCTTCGTCGTTTGCGAGTTTCTTGCTCTTGTGTGCCACCTTCAGTCGTTGATCCACGTCTATTAGCAGCCTCTGTACTACGTCCATATTAGCAGGAGTTACTTTGTCTCTAGCCCAACAAAGTGCTGCTCGAAGCTGTGGAGCTGCTGCCGCCCCACTCTTTTGCACGAGCAGCTCCAGCTCCTCATCTTTAGACACGAGATGCAGCTGGAGTCGAGCAGCATCGGATACCAGTAGCTCCTCTCGATCTTGATACACGCATTCAAGAAACGCCTCCATTATATCACCAAATTCATGCAATCCCGTCACAAGCGCCACCTTTGATGCTGAGAATCGTACGATCACCATTTTAAATTATGGCACAATTTTTACTAATAAAAAAAGTCAAATGGGTACATTATAGTTGAAATAATACGTAGTAATTTGCACTATCCTAAAAAGCCATTATAGCGATATACTGAAAGCAAATGAAGTAGTTTCTCAATCTGCATCAAACTCTCGCTGGTCCTTCAGTACATACTCTTCCTTGCTGCTACCATAACTCGGTTACACACCTACATTCATTCTTGCCAACACCTCTCTTCTCGCATCACCTCTTCATCGCATTTAGCTTTGGCTGATTCCTCCTCGTAAATTCAATTGCCCATACGTAGTAGCTCGACGGTCTTGATACGTCTGTCTTTCAACGACACGACACATGCTCATAGATGGCATATCTAATCACACTCTGTTTCGGCAGCACTGTCTATATCGGTAGTATCCACCACAAAGTCACCACTCGTCAATAAATTGCCACCACTGACATGGTGTTTCAGCTCTTTCTCTTCTTGCAAAGGCACTGCGGCAGCATCCTCGCTGGAATGCATCAGATCGGATAGCTTCAATCTATCCGGAGCCTCAGTAAGAACCTCCAGCCAATCCGGATCCGCTGCAGGTGATGCAAATTCTGCAGGTGTCTTATGCTCCACCAATTCACCATCCACTACAACTAAAACGCGATCAGCAACGTTCAGCAAGGCTGCTCTCTGAGCTTGGTCATGCTGTGATGAAGCTGTAGCAGACGGTAGTAACACTAACACGGTTGCGTCACGGAGCTCTTCATGCACCACACGCTTCAAAATCTTGAGGGTAGCATCATCGAGAGGAAAATGCGGCTCCGTCTGCAATTGAAAATCGTTTGTAGATGGCAGAGCTAGTACAGGAGCCAAAGCTAAAGCCACTACAGATGGCTTGCTCAGCAGCGCGCGCGCAAGGCTTAGCAGGAGCCGCTCAGACGGATTTTGTGGAAGAGCAGAGACGCCTGGCAACGGTCCATCCAACGTAGCCACATTGCTCGCAAGTCCCACAGTGCGCAGCACAGTCCACAGTCGATCATCCTCAAAACCAACACCACTTGGATCCAGCTGCGTACGGACCGAGCCATCGTACAAAGCACCGATGGGCGCAGCAGCTGACACACAGGCCACGCGAGAGCGAAGCGTGCGTAGACCTAACGTGGCAATATCAACACCATCTATCACAATTCGCCCTGCAGTCAGCTCATGCACACGCAGCAGTGCACGGCCCACCGAAGAAACTGCAGATGCGGACGACTCCAGTATAGCAATTTTTTTCCCTGCCTGTAGACGGAACGATACCCCCTTAAGTGCCAAGGGCGGCGCACCACCATCACCAATCTCAAACATGTCCGTGAGCTCGTCAAATACAGCAGCTGCCGGATCACGGAAACTCACTGCGTCAAAGCGCAAACCACCTTTCGTAGGCCACGACAACGATGGGTTGACTTCGCTTTGAACAGGCGTGAAAAGCGCTGACGCCCCTCTTGCTGCTGCAGTCGAGTAGGCTGCAGTTTCCGTGATCACTTCCGCCCCTCGCACGGCTGCTTGAATTCGGGCGGCTGTCGGTAGAACCGGGCTCAACCAAACCCATGCCCGCACGAGCGACTCAAGTGCTCCTCCATCCACTATCAGTGCTTCGTACAACGCTAAAGCCAATAGGCCATCGCTCAAGGCGTATCGCAAAGTCAAGAATAATGACGCTGCTACAACCCCCACGATCACAGCCCCGTACAACTGGACGCGCAGCGCAAGCCATTGATCTATATGTAGGCCGAGATGACCATCACGAGCAGCGATATCCAGAAGCCAGAAATGGTGGCCCAACATACGGTGCACATGCGACAATCCAAAGGCTCGCACCACGCGTGCCCCCGCAAGCGACTCAACTGCATGCAACCGAGCAGCCTGTCGCGCTTTACGTTCCAAGTGAAGTAGATCACGAGCTGGCCGTGAATATAGCCTTGCCGTACGCACATACATGTACACTACAGGGACGATCAGTACTGAGTAGCACCGCGTCACCGCCGCGGCAGTCAGCAGCGCGGCCAAAGTTGAGGATCCGAGTGCTAACATAGCACCAAATGCAAGAGGGAGTCTTGTATCCAAGTCGGTGAGATCCGTGTCTGTGAAGGCACGCTCGAGCTCACGTCTTCTGGTAAAGCTGAGTCGCATTGACCGGGCTCTGCCGCTCCCAGCGCCAAAGGCATCAAAGAACACCAGAGGAGCATATAAGAACGCGGATGCCAATGACAAAAAAGCACGACGTGCTCCCTCGACTGCCGCCATAGCGATACCCAGAGCATATCCAAGTACCAAAAGCACGCCACCCAACGCCAATGAGGCGTAAATGAGCTGGTCTGCCGCCATGCTTCTGTAACTGCTGGAATGTGCCCAGTAAGCTAGCCATATCTCACTCGACAGCTGCAAAGCTTGCCAAAAGCATAGTAGAACAAATAGAACCAAGGCCACACGAACACCACCAATAGTGACCGCGTAGGCACGAATGGATTTACGCAGCCGTTCACCCTCCTTCCATTCAGCTTTTACTGTTGTTTCACACGAAAGATACTCGCGCAGCGGTCGTTCACTCAAAGTATTGCGAGCTATTCCGACAGCATTTTCTATGGACAACTGCTCGATGCTCGGTAATTCCTCTAATGGAAGATACGGTGGCTCAATAGGACTCACAACGTCAACGCCAGAACAGGGAACAGAGCAGTGCACCCAGTTTTCATCTCCGACTTCTTCCTCGCTACTTTCTTCGTCTTCGTCTTGCTCTTTGCGCCCATTGACATCATAAATATCGCGGGTATGCACGAGTTGACCACCGTCTTCAAAGCGGATAGCATTGTCTACAAGTTCCGAGTTAATAAACTCAGCGCGCGTAGTAACAACTATTCGTGTCTTGTTGCGCAGAAGCCCCACCAAACACCGAGAAAAGATTTCGCGTGCTGTGGATCTGGGGTATAATCGTGCCAGTGGTTCGTCAAGCAAGTACACATCGGCATCGCTGTAACAAGCACGCGCAAGACTTAAAAGCGCTTGCTGTCCTGGGGTTGGCATCCACTCTTGAACAAGAGTGTGATCTCGAGCCGGCAACAATGTAATTGTGTTGGTAAGCGCGCATACGTCAAGTACGCGCTGATACTTGTGGTGATCAAACGGGAGACCGAACAGCACATTGTCGCGTACCGACAGCGTTTGTTCCAGCCATGGCTGCTGAGGGCAATAGGCCACCGTGCCACCAACATATACACGGCTGCCGCTTCCATCGCTTCCGTCACGCGCTTGCATTTCACCCAGCAGTGCCGAGAGAAAGGAAGACTTACCACTACCAGGGCGCCCATGAACCACTAGGAACTCACCGGCACCCACCGTCACATCGAGGTGCTGAAAAATCACCGGACCGCTAGTAGCCCAACCCAACGTAGCGTCTTCAACAGCGACGACAACGTCTTGTGCGTCGTACTTGGCTACTAGCCCCAGATTATCGCGCCGGGCTACTACATACGGGTTCAGCTCATCCTGGTCCATAAAGTGGGAAAGATTGCGTAGCGATTGCCAAGCGGCACGAGCACCTAGCACTGCCTCGACCATAGTTCGAAGTGGTGTCTGCATAAGACGTGCAAGCGCCAGTGTTGCAAATGCTGATGCTGCGGTGAGACGATGCGTTGATGAATGACACCCTGCCGCCAGTGCCGCAATAGTCACCAAAGCCGGCGTGGCAAAGCTTAATGCAATCTCGGCAGCACCTCGCATCTGAAAGGTCCACAGAGCCGCGAGCTCACGTTCGCGCGTGGCATTTACACGCGCTTTTGCAGCCGTCTCCCACGCGTGCAACTTCACGGCCGGCATCGCGTGCACCATGTCTGTGATCGAGTTCTGTCGGTCTATCCGTGTTCGTTGCAGTCGATCTAACGAGTGCAGTTGCAGCTGTTTCAGCACCTGAAAGACCATTAACGTCATGATCACTACTACAGAGGCTCCACCTGCTGCAACACCAATAAACTTTACAATAAAAGCCACAATCAAAGCTATAATTAGCGGCGCCACCCAGAGTTCGTGCAGACATGCAGCGCCATGCAGCAGCTGCGGCACGTCGACAGAGTAAAGTGTATCAGCTTGTCGAGTCGAGAAATTCGACAGTCGCAACGCTTTCTGTACCACTAAACTCTGCAGTGCCGCTGTAAGTCTCAAAGTCAACGTCTGAAGTTCCACACGAACAAAAGTCGACAGCAATGCACGCAGGAGTCGGGAGATCAATAACGTCCCTAGCCAAAAGACGAGACGATTTCTCGTCTCCATATCATCCGGGCCTTCCCGTCCCTTCTCTTCTTGTTGTTGTAGCAATGTCACACCTTGGAATAGCACGTAAGGCCCTAGTAGATCACAGTACTGAGCAATCGCATGAAGCACTCCAAGTCCCGCATATTGAAGACCTTGTGTCTTTACAAATGCCAATAATAAAGATCCACTGGCAATCCACGCACGTTGCAGGGCATTAGCACCACTTTCTGATCGAGAATGAGACGGCAATTCCCATACGTCCGCTTGTTGCAGTCCACGTTTGACTGCAACTCGATCTTGAGTCTGATACGGAGATTGTGTCTGATGGTCGCAAGCGTCACTGATGGTGTGACCCATTGAAAAAATAAACGACTTGTGAATGACGCGCACTCGATCGGATGTGCAAAAACCTGTGGAGGTGGTGCACCGGAAAAAAGAAGCGGACGACGTTCCGAGCGAGCTGTGAATGCCGTGGAAAGGATAGCGGATCGTGCAAAGAAATCGCTACTTGTGCTTGCGCTACTATGACGTGCAGACATTGACTGCTGCAGGCTTTGACTCTCGAGAACCCTTTGTTTTTTTATAAGTAGATGTGCTTGTATCAGATATTGAAGATCGTCCTGAGATAGGGTTGGTATACCGTGTATGCGGTACATTACCGGTAGCGTTTAATGACTTAAGCTTTTAGAAAACCCTCATGTTTTACAACAGTTGGTAATTTACACCCAATCTAGGTTTTTAAAAACCTTTGATAATAAGAATGAGTCAGAGCTCACGCGTGAATACAACGCCCGGCCACGACCAAACGCCTTGACGTCTTCCAAGTATCGATACTAGTCGCCGTTTAGTAGTTTGCATCGAAGTCTCGCATGTTCAATTTGCTTTGAAGCCCTCAATTATCATTTCGAGAAAGACCTGCAAGTTTTGATCCAAAACCACATTATAGGGGCAGCAGATGTTACAGTGCCTTTTTTTGTTTTTGTAAATTCAGTGTACATATGGTGTGACGTGGTCCGAATATACTGTACAATTCAACAATTCAGTAAAAACGAGCATAGGCCGTCGACTGGCAAACTTCTTGCTGCTGGTACTGCTGCTACTAATGGCGCTTTCGGATGTCGCCATCTCCTTTTCGAATTACCATGACCAAACCATAGGAAAATTATTACCCTCTACAGCTACAATGACGACAAGTACCGACGTGACGACTAACTTCACGGCAAATGAGGACAGCTACGAGGCGCTAGCGACGCTAAAGGCCTGCGGATGGTTGGTCCTGCTTCTCTATGTGCCTCTGTCCTTGGCCGTCGCATGGCGTACCTCACTACATTTCCTGCACTCGAATCGCAGTGCCAAGAAGGTTTTTCACGTGATGCTGCTAGTGTCAATGCTGTTGCAGTTGCCAGAGGCCGTCGAGTGGATCTGGTACCCGCTGTCGCAGAGCTGGGAGGCCACATACCTCTGTCGCCTCTACTCGCTGCTCTTGCTGTCCTTCTGCAAATCGTACCTAGCTGTCTGCTGGGCCGGCGTGGTGTCAGCAGGTCAGCGAATGGCAAAGCGACGTATTTCCAAGCTGGTCGCCGTGCTCAACTCGCTGTTGGTGCTGTGGGGCCTGCTGGTGCCCGTCTTACTGTTTCGATACGAAGACGACGTGTACGATCAGTACAGCTTTATGAACAGCAAGCTTCGGGGCGTGCTGACGTACTCAGGTGCGATTGTCGTGCTGGCGTACGGGGTCCTGCTGAGCTATCACGGCTTTCGTTTGCGTCGACGTCTGCTGCTTGCCCGCGGCACCGTTCCTGCTGCCAGCGTGGAGAAGTCTCTCAAGCAGCTTATGCTCGCCATCTCCATTTTCATTGTCTCGGACGTGGTTCGCTTGCTGGCGTTATTACTCAACGAGTCTGCCGTTGCCATGTCCATGACCGTATACCTCATCTTATGCAACATCATTCCGAACGTTTTTCCAACCATTTGCATGGTGTACCTTATGAGGAGAGTCACGGGCAAGGGTGACAAGGACGTGGAGACCAGCCACATGAAGGGACTTCGTGGCAAACGCACGCTGTCAAAATACATGACTGACCCTGACTCTGACGGAAGTAGCAGAGGAAGCACTGGCGGCGAGACTACTCGCGCCTACGAAGACAACGCCATTGTGAGAGCGCAATGGGAACTTCAAGTCCAGCAACAATATATTTGTCATCAACAAGATCAGATCCAGAGCGATAGGGAAGCAGAGCAGTCTCCGGCATCCTGCTGGGTCCGTGAGTCCGTGGAGATTCGTTGAGCTAGTCTAGCAGGAAGATAGACAGCTTTGAACTGGACGTCTTAACTTATTTACCATCTAATCCGATGCCTTCTGTTAAGTCGATACACGACTAGTACTAGACTCCCTCACCAGTTTAGAAGCTGAACCTCTTTTGAACGCTCTCAGCGGCGAGTACGGCTCCTAGCACAGGGTTGCGGGCTGTGCTGCATCGACCATGGAACTAGCAACAGTAGGGAATTAAAATACTTTTGATGTGTGTAAGAGTCCGCCGGACCAACCGATGCGCATAATGTACTTCCGGTAATTCGCCCTTTCGTATAATATTGCCCAGGAGTACGTGCACATATGCGCTAAAATAACGCAACTTCTGCTTCTCTAAACTTCTAAAGACTTTTTCGCGAACGTTGCGATTGCTTAAACCAAGAATCCGAGCGTTGTTGATACAACCGCGTGGAATGTAGCACACGCATCCGACTCAATAGTGAAAATAATAAACCTGCTCTCTTGATCAAAGTATGAAAAGAAAATTGTTGGATCGATTTTGTCACGATAACACCGAATAGGAACGAAAGTGAATCGCCACAGATTTAAGAGTGACTCCACTGCGTCCAAAGTACGTCAAAGGAATGTCTTCGAATCTGGGTGCGCGGCATCTCACAAGATGAAGAACACCACGACAAGAAGAATGACTTGACACATGCTGCTCAACTGCTCTTGCCAAGCAAAATTACAATGAGATAAATGTAATATTCCTTTTTGAGTCCAATCGAAATGGAGACCACATAAAGAGCCTCACAACAATAGATTGTTCAATCTTTTAGCTTCAAAAGTCAAATGTAGCTCTTGATACTGCCTCACGCGGGACTACTTTGCAAACAGATTCAAACCGAGCAGCGAAAAGAATGATGCAGACGAGGAGATGTGCCGCGTTTACGTAATATCAACACCATGCCAGAGAAGGTGTCTTTACTTTGGTCTAGATAGATATTGCTGCTGCAGGCCACTACTTTTTCGTATAACGGGACTTCTTGACACCCAGACCTGCCACAAATCCTTCACCTGCATAACAAACATTTTCATCAGTTTGAGTTCGTGTGCTCTGCCACTCTCTTCTGTTAATGGGCTCACCTTCCTTTCTGCCTTCATTGGTTTTCTCCGTCCATGCTTTTTTCATGCCTTCTTCATGGAACCCCATTTTCTCCAGCTCTTCCTGTTGCATTAGACCCCTGTCGAATCAAATTATGCCTTGTTAGATTATCATCTTGCAATATTATCTCTATTTGCTCTACGAAACAAAAAACACAGCAACGAGGAACGTACTTGTCCATCCGACACTGCAAGTACTCAGCCGATAACGGCTTGCAGTCAATGTGGCTATTCCCGTGTTCACGCATACAAGATAGGAACCTCTTCATGACTGGCTTGCACTCACCATAGTGATCCAATGGAAACGAACCCTTCTCGGGCGGCCGCTTGTTCTGCGAAGGAGCCTGTGCTGCGTTCATCCTGGTCAACGAGTGAGCTTACGTTTTACATTAATTACAAATATAGACTCAACTGGACAGGTTAATTCGTAACTAATTTATTTGTCACTCATTTTTATCAATTAATAATATTGTGTTATCCAAGAAACACAATTAATTAAAATGCTGACGCTGGTAGTTTTCATCGGCATTGCAGCCGGTGTCATGGTGTTTGTGGGTTCATTGCTAGCGGTATTCATGCTACTTCGCCACGGAGGGTCTTTTAAGCGCATGGAGCAGGAGGCGGTGGGGCTACCGTCAATTATGGGTGAGGAAAAGCCACTGTTGTACGACGAGCTGCTGGAGAAATCGAAGATGCTGAGCACTCGTCCACCGACTTTAGGACACGATAAATTGCTGGAGGGAAAGAACGTCTGCATAAGGGACTTTTCAGTATCGAGAGATGCTGTTAATCTCTTTGCCGTCTCGAGTGGGGAGCCACGCGGAGGTATTTTTCGAGATATAACGTTTGATGCTGACGAGATGATCTGGAAATATCTTCCGCATGGGCCCTTCGCGTCTGTGGCTGATTTCAAGAAATTTTACTCAAAGGAAAAAGAAAATGCTCGTCACTTTGTGCTGGCGCATCGAGAGAGTAATCAGCCCATTGGAATGGTGACGTTGGGTAAACACTCGCCGAAAAACCTTCGCATCGAGTTAATGCACTTGTGGCTTTCTCCGGCTTTTCAGGGCACGACCGCACTGACAGAGGTTGTACTACTGCTGTTAAAGTATCTGTTCGATAATGGATACCGTCGCGTAGAGTGGCGATGTGACGGGCACAATGTTCGTGCTCGACGTGCTGCTCACTCGTTGGGCTTTACTTTCGAAGGTGTGATGCGGAAGCACCGGATCATCAAAAACTGCAACTGTGACACAGTTGTCTTTGCTGCTATTAACAGTGAATGGGGGATCATGGAGGAGCATTTACAACACAAGCTTCGGCAAGGGCTGCAAAAAGAAGATGCAAGTGAAAAGACTGAAACGAAAAAGACACGATAAGTTAGAAAAATCTTTTCGTGCTCCGCGTGCAGGTCGGTAATTGGCATTTTCTTCTACGTCTATGGTTGTGCTGTTCTTTTTCGATTCCTTGGTTGCCTTGTTTGAGCTCAGGCAAGCTCAACTCGCAATGAGGACTAGTCGGTCTTATCGACGCTCTGGCTGCCAACCCGCCGTGCCTTTTGATAGGCATTGTGGTCGACCAAGTGCACTTCTGCGTGCTCAAGCCACTTAATGAGTGCAAAACCATTCTCTGGATAGCTCATGAGCCAGTGGTACGTGAGCCAGACTTGGACAGTGATGTAAATGGCGATGAGGACGTCTAGAGTGTAGTGCAACCGCGTTCCCACGATCGCAAAGATGCCACAAGCTGACAGGATGTAGTTGTAGTAGCGGATCATCCATAACACATACGGGAAGCGTCGGGTGAAAGGCGTGTTCAACTCGGAGCGCACACAGTACTGCAAACATAAGTCACGTGAGGAAGCCATCTTCTATGAAAACAACGATGATCAAGACAGCTTGCTGGTCGTACCGTTTTTGCAAACATACAGCAGAGAACCAAAAAGACGGCGTGGCCACTGAATATCATGTCACCACAAGTGATGTGCTGTGACGGGCGGATCAATACCTTCCAAGCGCGAAAAAAAGCCCTGCAAATCGAAAAAACGGTACAAGATCGGTTTATGAGTTGCCTTTACTTTGTTACAACTGTTAGCCGCAGTGTAAAATCGAGAAAAATGTACATGCACGCACTTTGGGAATATGGGAAGAGGCTTGTAGTTCCCGCGCTCCGTGTCAAACTGGGAAATGCACATAGGGCTAGCGTCCGGAAGCGACGTGACCGCCACACAGCAAGCTCGCATGAGGTTAATGATAGCGAAGATGAAGCAGAAACGACGTATGATCAGCAATCGCTGCAAAAGTCAATTTAAACAAATAGACGAACATTCGTAAGCCACTTAACCAGCATTAACAGCAGCAACTTTGCAGGCGAAGAAGAAAACGTACTCGCGGGTGTAGAACCATAATAAACGACGTGAGTGTGCCCACCGCAGCGAGGAATTCATCAGGAAGGTCGAACCACTCAATGTACGTGGTTTGGCCGTAGAACTTGGTCATGACAAACTTAAATAGATCGTGCCCCAGGTCTGGAAGGGTCTTGACGTCGGTGCTTTGCTTTGCAAAGTCCAAGATCACGACGTTTGGTGTGCGCCAGCTAATTATATCAAAAAGTACAGCAAAAGGATCCAGTAACATCAGTGCCAACCTTTACCTCCTCCTGCACAATTGATACTTATACAGAAGTTCCTTACCCTGCAATGACAGCTGCTAATGTATTAAGATACGAAGCAATTGCAAAGATCGAGAGCGAAAAAGCGAGTCGCGAGAGATACGCATAGCTGAGCATCTCTGCAATAAAGCCTTGACGTCCTGAATGATCAATTGCGCGGCCTTTAATATACTGAAGATTCTCACCCACGCGAATGCGCTGGTCTGACACATAGTCCGACATGTCTTGCAGATTTTTCTCGACGCGGGAGCAAAGTATGAACCCACGAAGAGATACCAACGCACGTGCTGTTGCTGCAAGTACACCCACAAGTAAAAGAAGAAAGGAAATGATGAGGAGGAAACCCGATGGGTCAAAAGCTGATACGGGCCGCGCCTTCGTGGCGTAAAAGTGCGACATAAAGTAATCCGTCCAACTTTCCATCTTTGATTTACGCACTTATGTGTGTTGGAAACAATGCGCGCATAACCTTTTTTACGTAAGATACACCTTTTACGTAAGATACAGCGTTTTACGTAAGATACAGCGCTTTACGTAAGATACACCATGTAGCTTAATGTGGCGTGAAGTATAAAAATGACGACGACGGTGCGCGTAGCAACACCCGAAATTCGGCTGCATTGCGGACCCACGGGACTGAACGAGGCCGTGCTGTCGCTGGACTTCCTACATCCTAACGTAGATGTTGACCAGTCAAATACTACGGACAAACCGCTTCTGGCCACGGGCGGCGCTGACAAGGAGATCAAGTTGTGGCGCGTGGGTGAAGACATTGAGCTCAAAAATGTGGAGCTAGAGTTCGTCTTCAGCCTTTCTGGCCACGACCGCAGCGTCAACTGTGTGCGCTTTTCACCCAACGGCGCGTACCTCGCGTCAGCAAGTGACGACACGTCGATTATTCTATGGACAAAACCCAAAACTGCGGGCGATGACTGGCGCTGGGATCAGATCTCGTCCCTCAGCGACGTAGGCCGCACCATCCTCTCACTAGGCCATAAGGGCGATATCACAGACCTGTCATGGTCTCCTGACTCAGCCTTTCTCTGCTCCTCTTCGGTCGACAACCGCTGCGTCATTTGGGATGTGGACAAGGGCGACGTCGCCGAACGACGTAAAGACCACACGCAGTACGTGCAGGGCGTCGCGTGGGACCCTCTCAACGAATTCATCGTGTCGGAAGGCAACGATCGCACATGCAGAGTATATTCGCTCAGTGGATTTGGAGCGACAACGCGGCCGAACGGGAAGAAACTAGGACGAAAGTTCATGTGCATTCAGACGCTGAAGACGCGCGAGCTACCGGCCGTACACAGCGGGCCCATCGCAGCAGCAACGAAAGAGAAAGAAGGAAAGGACAGCGGGAAGACGGTGGATATTGAAGCCAATGCCCTTGTAGGGGATTCGGTTTCTAAAGCCACACCGGCATCCAAGCACCGTATGTTCCTTGATGACACGTGCCCCGCGTTCGCTCGTCGACCGGCATGGACACCTGACGGAAATTATTTTCTGGCGCCAACTGGGACTTTCCGTGCTAGTGACTCGGCGTCTCCAGTGAATACAGTGTACGCTTTCTCACGGGGTAACTTGAGCCAGCCGACGCTGCACCTACCCGGGCAGGAGAAGGCTTCACTTGGTGTCCGCTGCAGCCCTCTTCTCTATCAATTGCGCCGTCGAGATGACCAATCAGTCAGCTCATCTCCACCTAACCTTTTCAAAACGGAATACCGCTCTGTATTTGCTGTTATTACTCTCGACGCTGTCGTGATCTACGACACTCAGGTAACGGGGTCTCTTGCTGGTCATTTGGTTTGCATTCACCTACTAAATATTGTCGCTGTTCTCGTTGGGATCGTAGCAAGCTCATCCAATATGCACGATAAAGGGGCTTCACTACGCAGACTTAACGGACGCGACTTGGACAGCAAACGGTCAGACGCTAAGCATTTCGTCTACGGACGGCTACATATCCTTTATCCAGTTTAAAGATGGATTTTTCGGAGCAAGCGTCCCTCGCAAGGGTGCGTTACATGATTGACATCTTGCTGTGATGACCTTTTAACGATATGCTGCTCTTGCGTGTAGACCAAGTTGCACTGAACGAGGATAAGATGCGTCGAATGTTTGCCACACCGAAGAAGGTGCGCAATAAAGCTAGAAGTCAAGCACAGAACCAGACTACGCCAAAGGAGCAGACACCAGCAAAAGCCTCTATAGCAAAACCGAAATCACAGCAGTCATCAGACCCCATCAAACGTGCTTTCAAAGGAAGCACCACTGGCACGTCCGTTAATCTGCTGCAAGTGCGGAAGAAGCGCAAGGTTTTTCCAACTTTGGGGCAATCGGCAACAAAACCAGCGACTACCACTCCACACGCTTTCAAGACTGGCAACAGTACCCTAGCAACCACAACACCATTGCCACCATCTAGTGCTCCAGCAGATAGCACTGTCAGCACTGTAGCAGCAGATGCAGCAGTCCTTGACCTGAGTCGGCCCTCTTTTTCGGAGCCTGCTTCTGTGGATACCGAGCCGTCCAGAACTACAGCGATCGATGCCACACGTCCTGCTGGTCATTTGACGACCCTCTCAATATCTAAAAGAAATGCAGATTCGAGACTTTAATTGTCAGCAAAAGTTGTCGAATACAGCAAAACCAAATCGAAGCTGGTGATATACTCGCCATACTGGTTTCAAAATCACAGCAGTCCCTTGTTCATACCAGGCAGTTCGAACGCTTTAATGGTCTTGAAGACGAGAAAGTAGCCATAGAAACCGCCGAGACCTCCAAGTAACAGGATATTAACCCAATGCAGCATCGAATGGCTCTCGGGTGACGTCATTTGTGCACGAAGCAGCGCCATCGCCTGCAGCAGAAAGCATATGCAGTAGGCCTGACAGAACGTGCGACGAATGAGCGCGTCACTTACGAGTCGCGTACGCCACACCATATAGCCCTGCGCCAGCGTCAGTGCACCTACGGTATTATTTCATTCAGTACTTGAATTTAGCAAAAACCATAGCGATAAGTACAGATCAAAACGCACCGTAAAGTCGAACAAACTCGTGCGCCATGTGCGTATTTCTGGTATCACCCAGTATCGGAGACATGAGCGAGTGCGGCGTGAGGAAGCAAAGTGCCCCCGTCACCACTGCAATGACCATGTGCACTGCAAACAAGCGGTCAAGCTGGCGTCGAACAGTCGACATTAGTATTGATTCAGTTGTAAGCAATGATGTAAGCCACACAACACAGCAGATTCTTACGTAGAACACACAATACCGAAAATGATCTCGATGATGACGTCGTATGTGCTGCTTTTAGCGACCTGCATGACGCTACTGACCAGCGCCTTGCACGTGACAATACCAATAGGTGCTTCCGATTGTTTTTCCGTGGACGCAGAGATCTATAAGCATGGTATCTCACTAAACTACGAGGTAATTCGTGGCGTGGCGGACGAATTGGAAACGGAATTGACGGATGGCAAACAACAGATCATCTATGCTCAAAAGGGCGCATCGGGGCGGTATGTGAGTTCTATTGGAGAAGGAGGAATGCATTCGGTGTGCTTTAAGAACGAGCGTTCGTCTGTGGGAGACGTAGTCGTTGGATTCTCCTTTCATGCAGACGATCCGAGCCATGAAGTGCTTTCTAATGCGGATGCCACTAAGATCAGTTGAGTGTGCTAGGTGCCTTTCTTCATATCGATCTTTTTGTGATCTGACTGAGCATTTGCTACTGATAAAAACTGTAGAGCAAGTGCAGGATCTGGAGGACATGGTAGCTGAGCTGAGCGTGAACCTTGATACCGTCAAAGACACCCAATCGTATATGAAGGCCATAACCAACTACCACATCCAGCGTATGTATCGAGTGGAACTTCTCCTGCTGCAATGACTGCTTGCTGACACCGTTTTTTCGCTTGAACTAATTGCACCCTGTTGTGTTAATACTGCAGTGATCACGAGCATGCACAGCCGAGTTATGTGGTGGACACTTGTCGAATTGTTCGTCCTTGCAGCTGTCTCAATGGCGCAGATTTCGTTCTTGAGACGCACCCTCGAGGTGCGGCGTATTTTGTAATAGACAAAATGAATTGAAAAAAAATTAAATTGGGTAATTACAATTCTTGAATCAAGTCCACAAAGTGCCCAATCTTGCGTCATCAATAAATGGGTTTGCAATTCGTTTTAACATCAGTACTCATAAAAACTACTGATTGTAGTTATATGTACGGCAATTTTACTGACCGCAGACCAGCAGTATGAGCCGAGCCCTCGCTGCCTTGCATAGACGTGGTATGTTGGCCGCATTGACGCACAAGGACGCAGGCAAATCTATTGATAAGCTGCTGCAGAGTGCTCGCACTCCCTCCGTCTATTGTGGCTTTGACCCGACGGCGGACTCGCTGCATTTGGGCAACTTACTTCAGGGTTTTGCTTTGCGTCACTTTCAACGCGCTGGCATCCGTCCCATTTTGCTGGTATAATTCAATTAGAGCTTCGATATAGAAATTGTAGACTATGACACTGATGGTAGAGAGATGCAATTTACGACAGGTTGGTGGTGCCACGGGTATGATTGGAGACCCAAGTGGCAAGTCGGAGGAGCGTGTGCTGCTATCGGATGATACGGTGTTGCACAACACACAACAGATTACGAAAGGACTGTCAGCTGTACTGGACTTTGATGATCCGAAGACTGGTGCAATTATCTGTAATAACGCCGAGTGGCACACCAACATATCGGCGGTCACATGGATGCGAGACATTGGGCGGTGCGTTCGTTGTTTTTTTGTCGTGTCTCGTACAATTGTTGTGCTAGGAACTGACATGCGACGCTTTTTACTACACAGTCACTTTCGAGTGAATTCAATGTTACAGCGTGACAGTGTGAAGAAACGTCTAGAGACGGACCAAGGCATCAGCTTTCTTGAATTTTCGTACCAACTCTTCCAGGCCTACGACTTCTTGCATCTGTACAAAAAGTATGGCTGCGTTGTGCAGGTTGGAGGCAGCGATCAGTGGGGCAACATTGCCTCGGGCATTGAGCTCGTTCGTAAGAGCACGGGCGAGGTAAGAGTAGCATCTAATTGTTTCACTAGTGTGTGATTCACAAGTACTCCTTTTGCGTCTTTATATTTACTTGTCGCAACTGTAACAACAGGAAGTTTTTGGGGCGACGTTGGTACTACTGACAACGTCTACTGGAGAGAAATACGGCAAGTCCGCAGGCAACGCAATTTGGCTAGATGCAAACAAGACGTCTGTCGTAAGTGCACCGCGCGACATTTATCACTTGAAAGTGGTTGCTGTTCTTAAGACGTGTATTCTAGTTTGACTTTTATCAGTTTTTTCTCCGCTCGGACGACCGCGATGTTGAAAAGCTGCTCAAATGCTTTACATTTCGAGACGTGGATGAGATTCGTGACATCGTGGCCGAGCACGAGAAGGCACCCGGAATGCGAGCTGCTCAGAAAGTGCTGGCGGAGGACATCACAGCGATGATGCACGGCCAAGAGGGCTTAAAGGCTGCACTGAATGCCACAGAACTACTTTTCGGGAGAAAAACCGGTCCTTTAGCTGCTGAAGAGATGCTTCGCATGGCCAGAGATGCACCCATGACAACGCTCTCACGTGCTGATGTCCTCAATGAGTCTATTGTGGACCTCGCTGTACGAGTAGGCGCGGCTAAGTCCAAGGGTGCGTTTTTGTTGTTGTGAAGTAAAAAAGACGGATTCTGACCTTATGCTATTGTTCGTGTAGCTGAGTGTCGACGTCTGATCAAAGGGGGCGGAGTATACCTTAACAACGAGCGCATTGAAACGGATACTCTGTGCGTGGAGACATCGAATCTTCTCGACGGCAAGTTATTGGTGATCCGTATTGGTCGAAGAAACAACTTTATCGTTCAGGTGCAATAGAGTATGCACTTCGGCGCTATCGATGCGTTCAATGTTCCTGTGGCTGGTCTCGCGTGTCGAAATTGTACAAAACAATCTAGAGAACAATGTGCTGCTTGCGGTGCCGTCAAATTAACTTTTAGCGCATTCGTGTGTTTTGTGCTTCATCATCACGAAATGCCCACTGATAATGTTTGCTCTCTGTGATGTAAGATTGCTGACATCACATTGTCGTGCCGATCTTAATTGCATGATAGCGTCTAAGCACGTAAACCATGTGCTCGTATGTTTTGAATGCAATCAGACGCCAGCCAGCGAAGAGAAGTATCTGAGAAAAGCGTCAACAAACGAAATAACTGTAGATTCAAGCAAGCTACCGTCGTACATAAGTAGTTTGTACAAGACCACGTACCTGGCTCTTCAGCTCGCAAATGCCCGTAATCGTAGCAGGTGAGATTAAACCGCTCAGAAGTTGCTGTTATATTCGGCCTGATAGCGCCTGGACATCAATACATGAATCATACTTTGAAATCATACAATTAAGCCTGTCCACTGGTGATAACGCTGCCGCCTACTATAAGTCGATGTCCAAATTTCACAACATGGGCGCGTTCAGTAACGTTGGTTTATTTTTCTTTGGTTGGGTATTTTGAAAACACAACCTTTGACAAGCAGAACGAGATCTCCTACCTCGGCTTGGGCATCCGAAACGTAACCTATCCGCGGCGTATCCACTTGGATCAGTTTTGTATCTAGTTACTCATACAAAAAAATAAACAGCTTAAAAGGATATGGCGTGATGTGATCAAGTGATTGATTGACGGAGTTAGCAATTACTGTGGTGCAGATTCGATTATTTCGCGAAAATCTATGACTGTACAGCTTAAAAGAGCAGGATATTTTGGTGTTATTGTGGGTGATGGACCTGAGCTGTCTGAACTTTGATATCCACCCAGAAGGCAATAAAAAGGACGAGCATTATCTTCGCATTGTTCTGCAGACAGTATGGAGACCAGTCCGCTCCTGGGAAGAGCTTCTTGTCAGTCTAAGGAACCATCGACTTGGCATGATTTTATTGACCTTTCTTCGATGGCAGCCCAAGTGAGCATGGCCACACTAGCTCGAGCAGCACTTCTCGCGGTCGACTCGGTATTTCTCGGGCATTTGGGCATTAAGGAGCTCGCAGCCGCTTCGCTAGCCCAACTCTGGACAACACCTGCTCTGTACGCTGTGTGGGCCTCTGCTTCGGCACTCAACACGGTTCGTTTGCACGTCCTTATCGAGTTGGCACACGCCAGTCAAACTTACTGTCTTGGCAGTTGTGTGGCCAGTCATGGGGTGCAGGTAATCGAGAGCTTACGGGCATTTGGCTGCAATTTGGACTTATGATCACTACGGTGCTTTCGGTGCCTGTCTTGATCTGGTACTGGTGTGTCGGTGGCATTCTCCAGTACTCAACGGATGATCAGGAGGTCATCGCACTTGCTACCACATTTTCACGCGTAATCTCCGCATCAATCCTCCCAACGCTTCTCTACTGCTGCCTCAGGTTGTCTTCTATGGATACATAATGTCTCTTGGTCGACTAACTTTTGCATCCATTGTTATGTCTCTTCCTTGTCAGACAATACTTGCAAGCAATAGGGATTTTACTGCCTACAACAGCAGTTGGAATAATCTCAATTTTCGTGGCTGCCGCGAGCAACTCCGTTCTCATATATGGCGTCGGTTCGTGGCATGGTTTGGGCTTTGTTGGATCGCCAATGGCCACAGTCGTGGCTTCCTGGTTTCAGCCGCTCGCACTCTATAATTATGCTATCCTCTACAAACATTATCACCGTCGTGCGTGGTATGGATGGAACATTCACGCTTTGACGCTTCGTCGGCTTCGATCATATCTTAAGGTAGCTGGACCTATTTCCAGCAACAGCTTTGTATCAAACTTGGCTAATGCTTTGGTGGCTCTAGTAGCAGCTAGACTTGGCTCCCGCATCATCGCTGCTAATGCTGTTATCTCGGGCCTGTGGTCCTTACTGTGGGCCCTCTTTTGGGGCTACGGCTGCGCCACACAGATCCGTGTTGCTAACTATCTAGGTGCAGGTAAACCCGATTTAGCTCGCCGCATCACCGGATTGGGCTTTAGCTGCACCATGGTCGTTGTTGCAATCATTGCAACCGCCACTGGTATCTTTGGCAATCGAATCATTGCCCTATTCACGACAGACGAAGAGCTACTGACCACGTGCAAGCTCGTGTTGCCTATTTTCATTGTCGCTTGCGGTTTTGAGGCCATAGAGATACTTTGTGCTGGAGCTTTGACTGGAATGAGGTGCGTGGGTCGCGATATGACTCTCTCTCTCTCTCTCTTATGTAATATCTCTTTGCTTACGTCCTACGTCTATCCCTCCAGCCAAGTGCACACTGTCTTCTGGACCAGCGCAATCGCCACATGGCTCATTAACCTACCGGTCGCCTACGTAGGTGGCATCACGATGGGTTACAACTTTCCTGCGTTATGGATAGGAGTGCTAAGTATGGAGCTCTTCAAGGTAACAAGCTACTCGCTAGTGCTCACTCGTGTCGAATGGGACAAAATGGCTGAACGTGTAAAGAAGGCAGCGGAAGCAGCACCGAAAATGGAGCAAAGCACGGTACAATGTATGGCGTCCGCAGCTGACATTCAACCAGCGACACCCAGCACGACGCCACCGATTGTGCCTTCTCTCCTGACGCGCCATCGTCGCATGCGAAGCGATGAGCTCCACTTCAACATGGTATCGGTGCGACCTCTTAATAGCCAATTGATCAAGAGTATGGAAAATTAGAGCTTTTTATTGGTCGATAATACACATCACCACTTTTGACCCATTAAGCTTAAAATTATGGACGATGCGAACGGCGATGCGCCTCTTGGAAAATGGGCGCAGCGCCAGGAAGCGCGGCGCAATATGTACGCCACTAGCACAGAGAACGTGCGTGTACATCGCCGCGGTTTGGGGGCATCATCAGCTTCTAGTGCCGCGGCCATGTGCCAGAAATGTCTTCGAGCCGGCCACTGGACCTACGAATGCAAGAATGAGGCTGTGTATGTTCAGCGGCCGTCACGCTCCCAACAGCTGAAGAATCCAAAGCTGCGTCAACCATTTAACAAGGACAAACCCCCAGAGCTACAGGATGAGGAGAAGAAGATGTTAATGGATGAGGAAAGCAAAAAGTTGAAGCATAAGGACAAAGTCAAAGCTAAAAAGAAGAAGACAAACATACAACGCAAGCGCCGCCGCAGTGTCAGCAGTAGCAGCAGTAGTAGTGAGTCGTCTTCATCTAGCTCGGAAAGTTCCGACTCGAACTCGTCTGATTCGTCAAGTTCCTCCTCGGATTCGTCCGGTAGCGAAAGCGACAGCTCTTCGTCCTCGTCAGACAGTGACCGCAGTTCGCGGAGAAAACACCGTATGAAGCGTCAACGAAACGATTAGAACACGTTAATGTCGGTCAGGCGACGAAATGCGCAGTGCTATTAAGTCGTTGCGATTGTTGCATCCTAAATAGAGATATTGATGTAGGCTCAGCTTTCCATAGATGTATTTTTTCTTGCTTTTTTGGGGAGTGGCCTTACTGTTTCAAGGTAACCGAGTAAAATGCAGCTCAAACGTTACTTGTTGCAATGGTTTGCGACGTGTATGTCTGTAGCACTTTCAGCGCGAAGAAACAAACAATCCGCAGATCGTTCTTTTTCTCGTCTCCCTCTGCCATTCACCAGTCTGCTATCGCTTGTCATTTTTCTGCAATGCTTACCACGAAGCGCCGAACTCCGACTTGGTCTTGACGAACAACGAGTGATCCCACTTGGTGTCCATCTTGATGGGCTCCGGGATCGTGACACCATCGGCCGCAACCTTAGCGAACTGCACCCGGTTGATCGTTCGGCAGTCACGGTAGAAGCACACACGCATGCAATCCTCCAACAGCGTGCGTGCCTCGGCCTCGTCCATGTCCGGCCGCCAGTGTTTACGCATCAGCGGCATTCCAAAGTGATGACCAAAGCCCGTAGCGATATAGTCACCTTCAAAGGCTAGACCAATCATAGTGACTTGTCCCAAGAAGGGTTGGTTCGTCTCCGGGTTGATACCAGCTACCACAACCGTGTTCCAGAGCGGATCAAACTTGTTGCGACGATGGTAGAGCAGACGCTGGAGGTAGTGGAAGATCTCGGGTGCCGTCATATCACAGCCGTCATCTTGATTAAAATCATACACCTCTAGCTCGTCCATCTTGTCCTTGATAAACTGAAAGTCGCTGAAGTCACCACCAGCACCCAGCAGCGTCGTGTTGTGCACGGCTGTAAGGCGGCGCTGATCTGTGAAGCGTGCCAATGATCCATACGATCCCAGCGTGTCAGCCGCCATCATTACACCGCCCTTGTACTTAAGCGCAATCACCGACGTGCCTGTCACGATCGGCGACTGTGTACGTTGTCGGGAGTCCATGACGGAAGCTCTTTCTTCTCTTTCTCGCTTTCGATCTTTGAACAAAAAGCTCCCCTTTGACACAGATATTATCCAATAGATGGTTGCTATTAGGAATCATTCGACTGATTGGCTGAAATATACAAGATATCGTTACGTGGCACTTTTCACTCATTCGAGAAGTTGACGCATACAGCTCAAGAAGAAAAGCAGAATGATGGTCAACACGATTGTCACACTGTTAACAGGAATGTTAGTGCCGCTAGTGGTGCTGGCGAACGACGAGGCAGCTGCTGCCCAAGTGCAGCAAGACGCCGACGTAGTGGCGCAGCAGGAAGCCGAGGATCGCAAGCAGCAGACGCAGGAACTGATTAAGAGCGCGCTGTTCGCCGAGACGTTCGAGGCCGAGCGGCTGTTTGACGACTCCCGCTGGTTTAAGAGCACGCACGAGAAGTACTCGAACCAGGATGTGACTGTTAGTGAGGTGAAGATTGAGGCGACACATCTGGCGGCTGACCACGGCCTCGTGCTGGACAAGCCGGCGCGTCATTATGGATTGGCTGTTGAATTGGACGAGTCACTGCAAGTAGACGGAAGCAACAGAAGGAAAGAGATGGTGGTGCAGTACGAAGTAAAGCTGCAGAAGGGACTGGACTGCGGCGGTGCCTACGTGAAGCTGCTACGTCAGAAAGAGGAGAAGCAGGACTACTCGTCCTTCAGTGACTCGACGCCTTTTGTGCTCATGTTTGGCCCTGACAAGTGTGGTTCAAACGATAAAGTGCATCTCATTTTTCAGCACAAGAACCCTGTGTCTGGCGAATACGAGGAGAAGCAGATGATGGGAGCGCCTCACATAGAGAGCGACAAAGACACGCATCTGTACACGGCAGTGATCCGTGACGACAATACGTTTGAGGTGTTCGTGGACCAAAAGTCGGTAAAGATTGGCAGCTTATTGGAGGACTTTCTGCCACCGGTGAACCCTGAGAAGGAGATCGATGACCCGAAAGACTCCAAACCTGAAGACTGGGTGGAGACAAAGAAGATTCGTGATCCAAACGTCGCTAAACCCGACGACTGGGACGAAGATGCCCCGGCACGCATTCCAGATCAGGATGCTGTCAAGCCTGATGACTGGCTGGATGATGAACCAGTGATGATCAATGATCCGGATGTGGTAAAGCCGGAAGACTGGGACGACGAGGACGACGGCGAGTTTGTGGTGCCGCAGATCCCCAACCCAAAGTGTGCTGAAGTGTCCGGTTGTGGTGAATGGAAGGTACCAACAAAGGAGAATCCGGCGTATAAGGGTAAATTTTACGCGCCCTATATTCCTAACCCAGACTACAAGGGCGAGTGGAAGCCTCGCAAGATCTCGAACCCAAATTACTTCGAGGACAAGCACCCGGCGCGTATGGATCCCATCGGTGCCCTAGCCGTGGAGGTGTGGACCATGACCGAAGGTATTACGTTTGATAATTTCTGGCTGGGTAACGACTTGAAACAAGCACAAGAATTCGCGCAGCTAACGTGGGCCTTAAAGCATGCTGCGGAGGTTGAGGCGAAGAAGATATTTGAAAAGGGAAGTAATGGCAGCGAGAAGGGCGGTTTCATGAAGACCATTGAGACTCTCTCGATGGACTTCGCCACTTACGCTGATGCAAACCCTGCAATTGCTCTTGGATCAATCGTTGGCATTTCCGTCACAGTGACACTCGGCTTCTTTTTCCTATTTTGCGCGTCGGGTACGTCCAAGCCGAAAACTGAAAAGAAAACTGGCAGCGGCGCGGAGGATGACGACGAAGGGGATGCTAAGGTTGTTGATAGTGACGAGAAGCAACCGAAAGTGCGGCAGCGCAAAAAGGCCCCCAAGGTCGACTAACAGTATGGTCTAGGGTAATTCGTTGTAATCGGCGCTGAGTTTTCAAAGCATACAAAAAGATGCGTTTGATGCATTAGTGGTGACTTGACTTACTATCATTGATTCTTAACGCTAGCTGGTTTCCCTGTTCTTAGCTTTTGCACACAGGTGCGTTTGACTTCGACGTTATACACGATAATGGCGGCCTTCTCCGCCATCATGGTCACCTAACCCGCACACGATGTCATTTGGCATATAGAAGCAGCGACGCAAGAGGTACATGCTGGCGATGCAAGAGGTGCGTGCTGGCGCCGTAAGAGGTACATGCTAGCAATGCAGGAGGTACAGATAAAGCGTTCCTACACCACAGTCATAGATAGATAAACTCCTCCTAATCCATACAATCCATTCTTAATTTTGCCTCCTTCTGCCGAGGTTCCTCCTGCAGCAAACCTACCGCTCCAAACCGCAAGCCCGTTATTCTGACCAGCAGCTCTTTATTCACGTCCCAATGTTGCCAGTCCGATGCCTTGAGCTGCGCCGTCATTTACAAGATGTATGCTGACTTGAACGATTATCAGGTTGCTTCTCAGGAGTGTTGAAGATAATCGGTTTAGCGACGGTTCGTAACCGTGAGCCGGTCTACCGAAACCGGTCCAATGCTACTCGCGTATGATTGGAGAATAAGAAAACATGGAAGTAAGTTGATAGGAAGACAAGATTTATATGTGGACAACATATAAATCAGTAGGCAGAATAACAACCTATAAATCAATCACTTTCCAATCAACCATCTTCAGCTCAAGTCGTCTTCACCCTCAAGTGCAGACTATCTTCGCCTTCCTTCGCTCTTTCGCCCAAGCCTTATATCTTCCGTCAGGTGATGAGCCCAAGTACGATGTCCGCTTCCCAAAACGTGTCCACCAAGGTCTCCATCGACAGATTCGATGGAGACAACTACACGACTTGAAATCGCTACATGCGTGGCGTGTTCCTCGCCAAGTCGTTGTGGCACGTAGTCAACCAAGATACGACGCCGACCTTCGCGGACTCTCGCGCCATGGACGATTACGTCAAGTCGAGCAACATCGCGTTCAGATTGATGTTGCTCCACATGGACGCTGATTATCATCACGTGGTTGATGACTGTAAGAAGGCATGGGTTGCGTGGGCGCGATTGAAGACGCTGTACGGTGGATCGCAGAAGGCTGGGCGCATCTATTTGAAGCGCCAGCTCTACAGTATGGAGATGGCGGAAGGCGGCAATGTGATGCATCATTGCAACGAAGTCCTCAACATCAACGCGAAGCTTGCCAGCATCGGCGCCAAGATGGAGGACGAAGACGTGGCGGTCTGCTTGTTGCGCAGCTTACCCAAGAGCTACGAGAACGTCGTTCTTAACTTGGAGATGAGCAGCGCGGAACTGCGATCGCGAGACGTCGTACGAATGAGCACGTCAAGAGGCAAGGCGAAAAGACGACATCGGGGAAGACTGAAGACGCGGCCAAGGCGTTCAGTGCCGATCGTAGCGATCGCGAGCCTCGTCAGTGCACGTACTGTGTAAAATTGAGGCACACATCGGAAAAGTGCTGGACCAAACAGAAGGACGCGAGCCAAGGTGCTCGACGCGGCGGTAACAACTGTGGTGGAGTGGGACTCGCAAAATTGCTGATGCGATTCCAACTCTCCACTGGCGCCCGGACGACCGACTAACGGAGGGGGTACCCCGATTCCGTGTGTATAGCCTTCCTCACCTTGTGTACCCGTCGGTAGGGCGGGTTGCTCTCTTCTCGGTGGACTTGAGTCGATGTTGATCCTAATTGGGTTAGGGATAGGAGGTTTGGTTATCTTGTGGAAATCTTCACAAGATAAACCGAGTACTTGGTGTGATCTTCCCAATCGATCACAATTATCCAATAAAACGAAGCTTGAATCTTCTGACCACATGAGCAGAACCTTCTGACCACTTTATCCTTCCTGCACTTGCTTCGTCTTGACCTACGTGTTTTATCTGCGTCCGATCGCAGTTGAGTTGTGCTGAGAGTTCTTGCAATCCCTGGCCAAACAATCCAGGGATATGACTTGCGTAGTGTGTAGGCTTCTTCGAGACGTCGGGTGGCCAAAGAATCCAGCCCGGAAGAGAAGTCGACACGTGTATTAGAAGTAAAATTGAACTCTGTTTAGTGTTAACCAATCAGAACTTGAAACCTACAATTCTGCCTATCTGTAGTCCCGGATCTATCACCACGTGTCACCCTTTCAGGAAAAATCAGATCTCGATATGTGGTCCACCCCAAATGCCTTTGCCATCCCGATCCATCGGCGATCTTGCCTTATCCTTGGATCGCGATCCGAATCAGATCGCGTGTCAGCTCAGGATCGCGGTCGATCCATAATGCGTAATCCTTGTGAACTGGATCGCGATCTAAGTTGGATCGCGGTTCTGATTCGGATCGCGGTTCTGAGTCGGATCGCGGTTCTGATTCGGATCGCGGTTCTGAGTCGGATCGCGATTCTGAGTCGGATCGCGATTCTGAGTCGGATCGCGGTTCTACCTTGGATCGCGCTCAGTCTTGGATCGCGGTTCTGAGTCGGATCGCGGTTTACCTTGGATCGCGCTCAGTCTAGGATCGCGGTCAGTCTTGGATCGCGGTTCTGATTCGGATCGCGGTTCTGAGTCGGATCGCGCTCAGCCTTGGATCGCGTTCAGCCTCGGATCGCGGTTCTGAGTCGGATCGCGGTTCTGAGCTCGGATCGCGCTCAGTCTTGGATCGCGGTTCTGAGTCGGATCGCGGTTTACCTTGGATCGCGTCTCAGTCTAGGATCGCGCTCAGTCTTGGATCGCGCTCCAGTCTTGGATCGCGGCTCTTAGTCGGATCGCGGTTCTGAGTCGGATCGCGCTCAGTCTTGGATCGCGGTTCCGCGTCGGATCGCGGTTCTGAGTCGGATCGCGGTTCTGAGTCGGATCGCGCTCGATCCTGGGTGTGTGGTCCACATAATTTGGATCGCGATCTCCACTCCACGAAATTTGTTTAGCCGCGCTTTCACAATCGCCCCCTGCACTGTTAGCTGGCATACAGTGTTGGCCAGACTGTGCATCGCATCCAAATTAATTGCCCCAGCCATCCTCATGTCTTCTTCTTCGTCTTCGGCCGCTTCCCCTGTTAGCCGGGATGGTTCCGATTCCGTCGTATCTGCAAGCTCTTCAGCTGTCTCGAGACCTGGAAAGTCTCGCCTGACATCCGATCCGCCTATGAAACATTCTTCCGGATCGCGGATTTTGCTCTCTTCTACTCGCGTAGAATTCCCGCCCGTGGTGGATCGTCATACCTTGGAGTCGTCAATCGCGGCATTATACCATCGTTTGGACGCCCAAACTGCCGTCGTGGACAGTTATCGTTCCTTGGAAGATGCTCTACGAGAGCAAGAAGTGCGCTCTACTCGGTTGGAACGTGAATTGCAATCCTTCCGGAAATTAGCACCTCCTCTGTCCAAATTCGTCTTGGATGGCTACAAGCGGCTTCAGGAACGTTACGGCACTGCGATCCAGAAAACCCAAGAGTTTGAAGATGAACTGGGCCTGCGAGAGGATCAATCTCAAGAGATTGCGAGTTTGAAAACCGCTTTACTCAAAGAAAACACGGCGAATCAGCATGCGCAGGAGAGACACCGACGAGAAATGGCCGTCTTGAAGGATCAGTTCCAGATCCAGCTAGCTTCTTTCCAGGATCGTCTGGATACACTACAAGCCACCCATGATGATCTTGAAAATGAGAATCTTCGTAAAGATGTCTCTTTGGATCAGCTACGGCGAAAAATCTTGGATCGGGAAATGGAACGCGATCAGGCCGTCCACGATCGGGATGCACATCGATCCTATTTAGCCCAGCTAGCTTCTGGATCACTCCCAATCATCCAAGCTGATCCTCCTGGACCAGATAGCTCGGCGTCCCGAAAAAGCAAACGGTCTTCGTCCCCATCAGCGGTCGAACTTCCACCCAAACGTCCTCGAGCCGTTGGCTCTTCTTCTTCGGGCCCGCCTGCCTCCATCCAAGGCAAATTCCATCGATCCAGAGAAATGTACCAGCACTATCCGCTAAATCGGCTAGTTCCACTGTACCAGCCCGATCTGTCGGATCTAAAAATCGTGATCCGGATGCTTCCAAAGTTCAGCAAAACCACGGAAAAAGCCTGCCGCCCCTTCGAAGTCGAAAGGGAAGAAGAAAATTCCCACACCTCCGAAAAGGAAAAACAAGAAATCGATTCCTACGCCCCCTCCCTCCGAGTCGAGTGACGACGAAGAAATTTTTGATTCTGGAGATTCCCTGCTTGCAGCCCTATCTGGATCGCGTTCTTCTTCTAGACGTCGTGGCTCGACAACTGGGGTCTTCCCGCACGTTGGATCGCCTGGTTCCCCGATCAATGTCGACACCTCCAGTTCCACGTCTGAGTCACTCTCAGCATCGCCTGCTCCACCCGCGTCGACTAAAATTTCGAAAGTGGATCTTTTTGGAGAACCTTCTAGTGATTCTGAGGGTGCTGTCAGCTTCACCAGCGAATCCCGTGAGAAGATCAACATATTGCTTTTACCACACGAGTACGCCGATCTACCGGCTACTCAGAAGTCGCGAAATCAATGGATCCCTGGATATCGCAAACGAATTCCTCGATCGTCAGCTCAGGTTGCGCCATGGTCAGCCCGAAGAATTAGCTCCACCTGCGTGGCCGAGTTGGAAGTGGACTTTTTGTACAAGCATCTTTCCAAGCCCAAAGGATACCCTTTTCCCATACTGACTATATCCAAGATACCGCCATCTGATTCACTATAAACGCCCAGGCTGGTCACTTCGGCGCAAATTGCAGCACTTTATGCTCAGGAACCATGGAAATCTCTTGATACTTTGGTCATTCCAGTTTCAATTCCGATGACTGGGTGGTTCGACGAGCTAAAAGTCCATTATCTTGATTTTGAAGATCGACACCGGCAAGCGCTTTGGGAATCAACTCATCCGTTGTACCTA